GAAGAAAAGTGTAGTTACTGAGGTGCAGTGTTATCTTCCTTTCCTGTAGTAAGAAATCTTATTTTGAATACATTGTTCTTCTTCCTTAAACCTTGCTTGTGTAGATTTTAATGTTAATATCATCTGGATGATGGATAAAAGCTTCATTCCTTATTGACACCTTGCTAAGATGTATGTAAAGTTTTAGTATTACCCGTCTATAGCTACATATAGTCATTAAGCTATGGCATCTTCTACAGTCAATCAAGGACTTTTATCTCATTTGAAAGCTCCTGGAATAAAGTATTCAGAGATGTCAGAGGAGATACAGTATCTAGCACCTTTGCACACACGATGTTCAATGATTTTCGTTAATCGATAAAATTTCGGTTTCCCAGGTTGAATTTTGGTACTGGTAAAAAGCCTTCCAAAGTCCCCTGCACTTTCAAAGGCTAGGGGACAGTAAGTAAATGCACATTACAAGACGTAGGTACTCCTTATTCATAATGAGATAGTTGGGCTGGTTGGCTCTAGGCCCACTTTACTAAGAGATAGAATATTCCTTGAAGAAGAACAAGTTCATATGGCTAGTAGCTCAAGAGCTATTTATTTATCCCTCTCCATCCACTCTCAAGAAAGACAGTAGCAAAAATGACAACAACAACAACAACACACCCATCAGGGAGAGTGTAAATGCTAAATGCTTCACTGGGTCATCACAGCCTCCCATTGCACACTTTCCCTCATCTGTCCCAAAGTAACCTATGTCATCCTCACTCATGCACACATCCATTGCCATAGATAGAACACACTTGCTAGGTAACCTGTGTCCCCCTCATTCTCACACACATTCATTTACATGGATGACACACATTTTCAGGACCCTTCACTAGGTGGTGAATACAAGGATGATCTAGACATAATACTTCCTTCAAGAGGTTTTTACAACAGAGTAGAGGAAGCCAAGACAACATGTAGCTATTTGCCATTCATTGGAGTAAGCACTGTGATGGGCAGGAGGTTAGAAATGAGCCAGTGGAGGATTCTGGGAGAGGCAGTAGAACACATGGTTGCCTGTGAGGTAGGCTTCTGGAAGGTATATCTAGAGGTGATGGCATTGTAGCTAAGAGCATAGGAACTCAGGGATGCAGCCTCACTTAAAAGGGGTAGAAGATGAAAGGCAGGGCTAGAACAGAAAACAGTGCTTCCAAAAGTGGGAGTGAAGGGAAAAAGAGCAGAGGTTAGAAAGATTACCTAACAAGAAACTTGTAAGCATGTTGAGAATCAAAGATCTTGTCCTGAGGACTGTGGGAGCCTCTGGGGAAATTAAATTCTGAGAGTACTAGGGATCTCATATCACACTGGCTAAATGATACATCCTTGTGGTAGGCAAGCATGCAAATGGAAAGCTGTTATGAGGCACTGGCCTTAAAGAAACAATTTCTAGAAGAAAGCAGGAACAGAACATGCAGTCATGTCTCAGCAGTGATGGTGCAGTATATAGCAAAGAAAGTTTGACACGGTGGCCAGAGATCGGTGCTAGAGGGTGATAGAGATGGCATGGGGGAGTGAAAATGGGCCCCAATGAATCACTAAATGAGTCCCCATGTTTTAAGTGCTATGCCATAGAAAGGCTGTGCACCTCCAACTCTCCATGAGCTTTTCTCGATTTTCAGTTAGGTCTGCTCAGAAGACCTGCTTATGGTGGGCCTTTCATGTATCTTTTGGTTATAGGGACAGGAGCCATCCTAATGAAGCCACTGTTGAACCTGTATGGAGTTTGAGCAACTAGCATCTTTGTTGGAATCCTTGTTAAAGCTTTCTGAAGGCTTTCTCTTGTTGCCTATTAAGGAGTGTTAGTTACTGTATCCTCCCAGGATTTTCTTTGTGCAGTAGAAAAACAGTGTAACTAGGCAGGGATGAGAGTGAGCAGAGTGGATTGCAGGGGTGGGCTCTGAGAAGAGGTCCATTTTCGATTTACATTAAAGGAGCCAGATTGCATAGTTGTTTTATGGGACATAACATGATCACCCAGGCTGCAAGAAATCGGCCACAGTTTAAGAGATATGTTACCAGCAAGACAAATAAAAACAGTCTGAAGTATCAGACCAAACTCAAGTGTTCACCTCTGGTTCACACCCTCCTCTCCTCCCAGACTAATCAAAAGAAGCCCCTTCCGCTCACAATAGCTCTGTGTACATTTCCCCCAGATCTGGTATTCATATGAACAATGTGGTTTATTTATATTTCAGCACCAAATTGGAAAGATGACATCATTCATTTACAGTCCCCATCCCGTGACATGCCTACTCTCCGACACCTCATTTTGGCAGACACATTTAGGGCCGCATAGAGCATCTTGTTTAGCTTGTGCATTCTTTTATGGGACACAGTTCAAAGGTAGGGGCTTGAGCATTGTTGCTGGTAAGAAAATGACCTCATAAAGTCACAGGGGCTCCCCTGAAGGATAAGGGCATTACAGTGTTTACAATAGCAGTGTTATTATTTGCTCCTTTAGCCTTCATCACTCCTCTGTGCCCTTGTCCCTTCCTCTGCCACTGTCACCGGTCTCATAGCTCACTTCAGTTCCCCCAATTCCAATTCTATTTGGAAAAAATCGTTCCAGATTTATTAATCCATGAGTTCAAAAGTACAGTCCCCTGTGGCAATACTGGGATTTTAGGTGTAGACACTGAGCTTCAGCATCTCGTGTCTGATGGCAGGAGGACTAAGGAGGGTCTTATCCTCAGGGCTCTGCTGCCCTGCTCTTTCTCAAAGGCCTGACCCGTGCATCGGGTCTTCCGATGCATTAAATGGACACGAAGGATGGAAATGCTAGCAGCTGCCAAAGTCTGCCTGAGCTTTGTTTTTTTAATTTAGTTTTTAAGTGGGTCTTTTAAATATTTTTATTATTTTATCATATACGTGCATTTTTATGCTCACTTTGGGACCTTTCGAATATTGTACACACTTGAAAAGATGGAATGAATAAATCACGAGGCATCCTTTGGCAGGTAGAGCTGGAACATGAGGTGTTTCCAAAACTTAACAGACCCTGAGTACTTATGGGATAGCTGTTTCTACCTGTTCAGCTGTTTGCCATCTTTACTAGCAGCCAAACAAGAAAGGGGACTTAGAGATTGAAAGTTAGAAGACCCAGAAATGTCCATGCCGTTTGTCAAGAAATGGCTCTTGGGGCTAAAGTCCATGTCTTCCTTTATTGCTGCCAAATTGTAATAGTGATTATTCCTCCTAGGAAATCTTGGAAATCACAGTTGTACATGAAGAAATATTGTGAGCATGCACTATATTAGATCTATAATGCTCTTTATTATTAAATAATTATTATTTTGAACAATAAAATTCTGACTGATTGGAAGTTCCAATGGCCTCCAACTTCAGGCTCTGAGAGTGCTGATGGGTCAGTGTCATGCTGAATCACCAGGTGGACCGCTATGGCAACCTACACTATGTCCTCAACTCTTGGTGACCTTTTCTACTGAAGAAAGAGATGCAGCCCCCATCTAGCATAGCAGCACCCTTTGCCTTTCCAGTCACTGCAGCAGCAGCTTGCTTTCTGCTTCTGTGGCCCGAGCTCCAAGGGTGGACATAAGGAAGGCTTCTGAAGGAGGAGTAGTTCTATGGTAGAAAATATGATTAGTATCTACAAGGCCCTGGGTTCAAGTCCCAGCAGTGCCTAATGGATGGATGGATGGATGGATGGATGGATGGATACATACATACATACATACATACATACATGCATCATACATACATACATACATACATACATACATACATGGATGGATGGATAGATGGATACATAGATACATGGATACATGGATGGATGGGTGGGTGGATGGATGGGTGGATAGATGGATGGATGGATACATGGGTGGGTGGGTGGATGAATGGATGGATGGATGGGAGAGACAGACAGATAGACAAAAGTAGGCTCCTAGAGAAAGTGTTGTGCATTAGTGGGGCTCAGGAATTAGGATGAAAAGAAAGGAGCCAAGGAGAGGAACTGCAGGCAAAGGACCCAGCATACACAAAGAAGAACATTCTTATAGGAAAAAAGGGAACAGCAGTAATGGTAGTAAAGGCATTTGACTGACACTTGCTCCTCAGCTATCCCAGGAAGGATAACACCCATTTTAGAGGTAAGGATATTGAGGATTAGGACAGTTAATCATCTTAGGTTAATACAACCTTCAAAGTGAGGTGGAGCAACTCTTGAATCTAGGCGGTCCTATCCTTAAACTCACATTTCTGACTCTCCGGACTAGCTAACTTCTGTTCTTTTCAGCCGGCCTTAGGCATTGTTTATGTTGTTGTGGCCTTGTTCAGCAAGTTCATCCTTGCTCTGTTTCTTGCCCCATGGCCCTTAGTATTTAACTATGACTCCAAGACTCCTCTATGATGAGTACCACATGCTTAGAGCGGTCAGCTTGTTTTCCACCGACATTGCACAATTCTCTCAAAGAACAATGGCAGCTAGAATATCTGTAGACACTCTTTCCTGAGAAGTCGCCATTGTAGCAGTGAACCGTCTTCACCAGTGCCCCTGTATTTGGCAGTTTTGGTATGTATTTCCCTGCCTTGTCCTGTGAGAGCATTGTTTGTCATTCTGTCTCTCCACACATCCCTCTCCCAGCATCCCGTCCAGGGCCTCCTGGGGGCCTTCTCTAGAATGTAGGATGTGACTGTGGGCACCTTGTGATTGTAAGTCCACTCTGGATCTCTTTGACTATACTTTACCATGTGTTCGCCTCCCTCTTAAAAAGTGCATTGACATATACAGGTGTTACCTAGCTAGCTCCAAGAGTATGATTAACACTTCCTTTACCAAAGCTAATGGCATAGCTCCTTTATTACGTTTCAATGTGCCTAAAAATGAGAGCTTCTGGACTGATGTAACTGGAACACTCCTTGTAGGTGTTGTCGTCTTTGTACCCTGTGTCTATTGGGCTTGTTGTCTAGCTCCTGATGGAGTCTTCCCTGGTTTTCCTTCTGCACAGACTCAGAACAGAATGAAGCTGATGGCAGACAACTATGATGAAGACCACCACCATTACCACCACCACCATCATCACCACCACCACCGGTCTCCTGGGAGGTCACAACATTCCAATCACAGGCCCTCTCCGGACCAGGTCAGTTTCACTGCTGCTTACCTCTAGGACCCCTCTTGTGCTTTGGATATTTTAAGATAAAATAAATAATCCTCAAGAAATAATAAACAGCATAAAGTGATACGTTCTTTGAACTGAAACTAATAGCTTTGGTATTTATTTCCATCACTCAAGGAATCTAAATGTTTTCCTTTCTCCTTCCTCTTTAAGGTTTTGTCTTTTCTTGTTTATATTATGCATTTTCTTTTCTCCCCTCCTTTCTTCTTTCCTAGTTATGCAGTCTATTGCTGGCTCATATCTAATGGCTAGGTACCTTGGAATGTGTCTTTTCAAGGTTTAAAAGAAAGCACTCAATTCCCAAGAGCTCGGCAACCAGAGAAACCTTGAGTTTGCTGAGCTCTCTCTTGCAGAAGCTCTCAGTGATGCAAGTTAGGGATGAGGTAGAATGCCAAAAGGAGACTCTATTTTGCTGCCCTTTTTGTCAGCGACGTTAAGGTATCCAGTTTATTTGGTTTGGAGTCTACCTTCTTCCTTGACTTAGTAAAGCAAATGAAAAGATGAAATGACAAAACCAAAAAAGAAAAAGAAAAAAAACACCTGCCATTTTCAACTGGGTCCACACTCATCCACAATGCAAAAAACTATACTATCTAGTAATAAAACTCCTGAAGGTGATTCATATGCAAATTATGAACTTATGAACAAATTAATCAGAACAATATAGTCAGTATTAGTAGGGTTTTTTCTTCTTTTACTGTACCTTTGTAATATAGGATCATCATAGGGTTTGTACAATAAATTCCATGAGATAGGTGGCATTAGGAAAAGACACAGAATCATCTGTGGAAGCCAGAGTACCTCAGACACCAGCAAGAAGCAATGTGGTATTAACTGCATGCAGAGAGCACAGCAGTGTTTGCTGGGGAGGGTTTTGCTTGTTTTCAGAGGCCTCTCTTCTCTCCCTTCACATCCTGGTCATCCCAAAGAAGCTAGTTAAGATCTAATCCTTAGAATGTTTTCCCAGAAATAAAACTCCAGAGGAAGCCAGTTATATAGAGCACAAACCATGGAAATTCATGACCATTGTACCCTGAAGAACTTACCCTCAGACACCCCAGCACTACAGAAGGTTTCCTCATGGGGTTGTGGATTTCAAAGCCATGTGAAGAAAGGCCTCAATACATGGACTGGAGCCCTCTGAAACAGTTCTAGAGTTTGGTGGCCTGGAAAGTAGAAAGATTAATTGTATGTCTTTACCTTACACATCCTTGATTTTGTTTGGTTTTATGTATCAGTTTTTGTCCCTACCACCATATGCCCACCCCTGCTCATCCCTGCATATTCTGAGATCACTCCCCTTGGTTGCTGCCCTTTGGCACATTGCCCTTTGTTCTTTGTTATTCTCCCATGAATAGTCAGTGTGAGGCTTCATTGGTATGAGGCCTGAAGACCTTACTTTGGCTGTCCTCCTGTGCCATGAATGCCAGAAGGCCACCCTGAACCTCTCCCTTCCCCAGAAATAGTAATAGAGATCATGGAAGGACACCAGGAAGAACTGGAGTGAGTCACCCATGGACTTGTTAATATAGCAGAGACATGTGTCCTAAGATGCCCTGCTGAAAATGGTGGCCAAATCTAATCTGTCTGCTTTGTGAATAGTACTTCCCAAATTCTGACTTTCTGACATTTCTCCATGTACTGGCAATGAAGTGTCTTGCCTGCTCAGTTGGTCCTTCCTGTATCTACATCAGTAAAGGTTTCCACAGGGCAGCGATGATCCGGCAATATTGGGGCTCCAAAATTAGTTAACATTTACAGAAAAGTCTTTGCCTGAGACATGTCCTAGGGACCTTGGACACATCTTTGTCACTACTGCAGTCAGTGAATGCTCTGAACAACACTTGGGTACAAGGATGGAACCTGAATCCTTCTTCAGGGAAAAAAATCCCATGCTCCAGAAGGAAGGCTACCTGGCTAGATTCTGGTTATTAGTAGTTTGCTCCATCAGCTAATCCTTGGAGCAAATGTCACATGACAGCCCTATGCAGAGCCTGGAGAGGGCCATGCAAGCAAGATAAAACTCTGTCCTCATGGCACTTGCTTTTCAGTCCTAGAATAACAATCTAGGTCCCTTAGTATCTACTTATTGTTTTTTCTTGTTCATGCCAATCATAACAGGATAGATTAAAGGTTGAAGTTAATTATGGCCATGGCTTCTGAACTTGAAGTTTAGGGTAGAAGCAAAATGTCCTTACTCAGGAGACAACTTTTACAGTTTTAAGTTGGAATCAGCAAGGCTGCCAGAATTCACTCTTTCATTGGGCAAAGGAGAGTTAAGCTTGAAGCGCTGGTGTGATATTTGGTTGGCACCAGAGATGGAATTGGTAGACCTCCTGAGTGAGGTTCTCTGTTAGACCATGGCCTCCAGGTTTAGGAAATGGTGTCCTCCTCTGCACTTGTATTAACAACCTAATATCCACAGGGGCATCGCTAAGGAATTCAGTCACAGAATGTAGCAGTTGTGAAAACCTACAAAGTCTCTCCAAATTACAACCCCTAGGCATGACTCTCTAGGTCACGAACAGTGATGCCCCAGAGGCTAGAGCTACTTCCTAACAGAAAGTGAGAGCTCTACATCAGAATGTGTCATCTGGCAGTCTATACAAGGAGCTAATTGGAGGGAGATTCCAGTTAATGTCCACTGTGCTAAGTCAACTGAGCTGACTTAAAGGGAAAGGATGTCTTCCTGTTAGTCTTCCAGCCCTGGTCTTCCAATATCCATCAGGGTCAACCAGCTGGGTCTTCTGGATACGTGGGCCACAAACCCTTGTCCTTATTTCTTGAGGTGTAGAACAAGATCGGAACACATGAAAGTGAGGAACTGAAAAAATCAGTCACTTTGCTGCATTTCCAGAAAAACTCATTATTTTTCCTCAGGAAACACTTTGCCAGGCACTTGCAGAATTATATTCTTTTTCCATTTCTCTCCTGTCCCTTTACCCTTTACTGTGAATTTTTGATTTCTCTTTGAAAGAAATTGAATTTAAGCATTATAAGTCTAAACTCACGTTTCAAGTAACTTCTAGAACATTAGTCCCATGAGGGAAGAGCCTTGGACAAAGATTCAGTGGGCCAAGAATTTTGGGAAAGTACTGCACATTTTAACTCTGTCTTCTAGCATTCTGGTGCCATTAGCAGATCAAGGGATCTAATATGGCATATTAGAAAAAAAGCTCTAAAATTTTATTTAATCCAGCATTTCCCAGACTTATTTGATCATAGTTTTAAATAGTTTTGTAACATCTGTGCTTTGAGAGAAATAGTATTCTCAGGCTATCAGGTGAAAAAAAAAAAAAGAAACTACCTGGTTTAAAACAAGACTGATCCTATTTTGAGCAATACTTTCATGAGAAGGAAGAGATTTTAGGCACTATCCCTAGCGATTAACATAGTGGAAAGTGGAAGTACCCCTTCTATTCATTTCCTGGAGAGTGGGTAGTCTCAATAAGAACTATGGGAGCCATTTACGGTGAGGCCCCAGAAATTAAGAACTGTCTTAAATACATCATCCTTCAGTGATCACAAAGGTGATGAAGGAGGGTAGGAAGACTTGAAGAAACAATCAGAGAAGCCTTGGCAGAGTTTGAGTCAAATCATCTAACCCCTACCTGAAGGCAGAACAGTTAAGACCTAGAGGCCAGTAACCCCAAGATGACTCTAGTCATCGAAAATGTCCTAGTAGAAAAGAATATCCCAACAATATAGTAATAATATAGGAAACTCCCTTAAGCCAAGAAGTAGCCACAAAGTACACAACAAATATTTCCCATGATATAATAAAGACCAAAGTAAACGTACATGCTGGAGACACACTAGTGATTTAACTTTTATTGACATTACCAAGATTGATTTTGCAAAACCAAGTGGTAACATAATTTCTCCTAAATGCCCCGGGCACCCATAGTCATCAGTAGTGTCTGTTATTTAATTCAGATAGTGTCCTCCTCTGCCTGAAAGCATGTCAGTAATACCAGGTCTTTCTGCGTTGAGGGCAGGGCATCTTATAACTTTTACTGTCCCAGTAAAAGGCATATTTTAGTAAACCCTTTTCATTGCCTCTCAAATTTGTACTAACTACATCATTGAGAAAGTTGCATAGCACAGTGGCATGCAGGATAGTCAGTTGAGGTCAGCCTGCCCTTTGTGTCCCTAGGAATCCCTACATTTCTACTGAGTGAGATATTGCATCTTTACAGGCCCAAATGTCACTGCTTGCTCATTCTAATGCCTGTACCTAGAAAAGCACCTGACACTGACTATAGTGTGGAAGTGGGATGTAGAACCTGAGCATTTTAGAGCTGGAGTAGGCAATGCTTTTTGAAGACCAGCAAAAGAATCTTCTGTCTTCTGCCCCCATTCACTGAATGAAAATGCCCACGCACAGGCACAGGAAATGGAGGCTAAGTGCATTTTGTTACCTAAATGATTTCCAGATCTTGAAAAATCAAATTTATATACAGAAATCCTATTTCTCTAGGAGGGATATAGATCCCACAAATATGGAGACATAATACTTATTAGAATTGTAGAAAAATAGGTGATTGAATTCTATGGTAATATTCTTTTTGCTTCTTACAAAACATACATATATCTGTCTGACCCCTGGGTGCACATTCAATAAATGTTTCCTGAATGATCTGTTCACATAGTATATATGAAAAAGAATGGCAGTTGAAAGTGTCCCTGTTATGCAGGTTAAGAAGTGGTATTTGGAGAGATCATTCATGATCTAAAGACACATAACTGGACTTGAGAAACATCTCAGTGATTAAGAGTTCTTGCTGCTCCTCTAGAGGGCCTGAGTTCAATGCCCAGAATTGAACTGAGTGGCTTAGAATAACCTATAACTCCAGCTCTAGGGATCCTATACCCCCTCTGGCCTCCATGGGTACCTGCTCTCATATGCACATACCTTGCCCCCTACAGACATACATACACACACAGATACACATAAATAAAAA